CTTTGGCACAAATGCATTGAAGAGTCTAGGAGTGGAACTAGTTATACACAAGAAGCTTGAAAAAGTAAAAGCAAAGGGTAGGATGGTGCCTCCACAAAAGAGAAACACCGCCTCAGTAAGAGCGAAGATCCAACAAGGTACCATAATTGTGAACAGATCTATCTCAGAGAAGGATAAGTTTGGAACTGTCAACAAGAAGACGTTTATTGAGAGAAAAAGAGATGTCAAAGCAGGCAAAGGAATCTGGTCAGGGGAAGCTTGCGAGCGCAAGTGGAAGAAGTCGAGATGTAGGAAGGGCAGCAAAAAGCACACCCCTTCCAGAAGCGATCGAAAAATGTGCGGAGAGGCACAGAAAGGAGTCAAAGTTCAGAAGACAAGCAGTAAGAAGGGAGAAAGTTCTGAGAACGAACGTCCTGTTGCGTTTATTGCACCGAGATGTGCAACATCATTTGAAGAAGTTGAGCTGAAACAGAGTGGAGTACTGATCAAGGTGGCAGTATCATTCAGTCAACTCAAAGAAGCGTTGAAATACTTGAAGAACTGTCGTATGTGGATCATAGTATGGCCCATGAACCCAAAAAGGGAGGATGAGGCTATCATTGAGACATTACGGATATGCAAGAAGTACCTCGAAGAAGGAGGAAAGATTGTATCCGTGTGGCCGCCACTATCTTTCAAGAAGATTGGTATGTGGAAAACGAAGTCAAAAGTGTGGACGGTGATTGAATCAGCACTGAAAAAATGGGCAAATCCAAATCAGTTGTTCACGGATCCCTCACGGACAGAAATTAGGAAAGTGACTATGGAAGCAGATGGACCCCAAAATTCTTTTCAGGTATACGACACGTACGTCAGGGACGGATTTGCGCGATACCACTACAACGACATCCGCAGGAGAGTTCCCGGCGCAAAGCTCAGCAAGTTGCAGCAGCCGCCGAGGACGTCGGCTCCCCGGAGGGGAGAGATGTCAGAGGGCGCGGATCACCGACCTACCGATCTTCAGTGGCGGGAAGAAAAGCCCGCGCTGACCCCTTCGGCAGGGTATAAATACCGGGAGTCAGGGGGAGGCTTCAGTCCGCGCTGAGGAAGCGCTAGCGGGAGCTAACTCCGTCGAAGAGAAACGGACCTCCCGCTTAGATAGAGAGTAACCAATAAGCCTGCCGAAATGGTCAAAGAGGGTAAAGCCCGTCGTCTCGTTGTAAGCCTCGTTCAAGTTACGCATTCTTGTTTCTTGTTGTTTCTCGTCGTTTTTCTGAGATAAATTATTAGTCGTTCGATCCGTGCAGTCTATCGATCCGGTTGAAACCGTTATACCACTAGACACCCCCGGTTACAATTCAAAATTTTCAAACGAGAATACCGCCTAAAACCCTCTACTTTCTGGTGCTTTCGTCCTGTTTACGGAAGGCACTCTTGCAACGCTTTTCGTTATCCCAAACTACCTACATCACATCGTTTGCGCAGGTTAAGCACATTTGCTTTCAGAACAGCCAAATGGATTGAAAGTCTACCCCTCCCCCCAAATCTACATCAGAAAAATTCTGTCAACTTCAGAAAAGCATTGTCAAAAGTCGACATACTTCAACTACTGCCGATACCGGATGTCAAATGATAGCACTGTATTTTGTTATCGATTACTTTCTTGCCTTTTTTTCCTTGAACTTCTCTAATCTTCCTGCACTTCGATTATGTTAACTACTCTTTTTGTGTAATACCTTATATGAAACTAGCACTTGGTTACCGTTTCGGTCTGTTGGTCAACTAGAAAGCTTGAATTACCCTAATTTCACGCGTACAAGGCGCGGGGTGGTCCTAGCTTTCATCGAGCTGCTCAGCCGCCCCAACGTGTTTTAAGAAGCGATCCTTATGCCGCACGATTCGTCAGGCAAAACGCAGCACGGTATGGGGTTCCTTTGGTTGCGAAGTCCTTTGCCGTGTTCGGGCTGGTCGATGAAAGCTAGGACCACCCCGCGCCTTGTACGCGTGAAATTAGGGTACATGCCCGAATTAGACTTTCATACTTCCGGATACACAGCTTTGGCCTTTTTTGCCTGCGGAGGTTGCGGGACCTGATGGTGTTGGCAGGATGGATGTTCGGTGAGCGTGTGCACTGGTGGCCCCCTACCAGTGCGCTCGTTTGGGTATGCCGGCGGGGGCTGCCGGTTTATCCATTTGCCTGGCCTCCGCCCCGTCCGAGCTACTTGTCTCTATACGTCTGTTGGCATGCTGGGAGAGGCTGTCGTGATTCATTCTACATATGGAATTTCTACTTACGAGTGTGTCATTTTTAGCTTATCGCTAGTGCCATTTTTAATCTTACTAGTGGACCGGTAATTAAAGGGGCTAGATTGCATTCGCGCGCTTTGGGACCGCACCGCGGTTTCCCGCTATGTGCACATTTTTGAATTGCGCTTACGATTCTTTATATATTAGATATATAAAGCTGAATGTCTGTTTGTATGTCTGTCTGTATGTCTGTCTGTACGTATGTTCCGAATAGAAAATTCCATTTCTGAACCGATCGGGACCAAACTTGGCACACATACCCTTCGGGCCCTGGCGGGTGTCATAGGCTACTTTTCGTCATCGATCGATATCGATTTTATCGATTTTTTGCAAAATTTGAGCTAGGGGGCTGGAATTTGGCAGAGGGGTGTAATCGAGCATGCTGATCACCCCCACGGGGGTGATCAGCATGCTCGATTACAGCCCCCTAGCTCAAATTTTGCAAAAAATCGATAAAATCGATATCGATCGATGACGAAAAGTAGCCTATGACACCCGCCGGGGCCCGAAGGGTATGTGTGCCAAGTTTCGTCCGGATCGGTCAAGAAATGGAATTTTATTCGGAACATACGGCGGAGCCGGGTAAGCCAGCTAGTCCTCCATATTTACGTATCTACCTCGTATCATGTGGTTTTCTTTGAAAATAGAGCACGCCAATGTGCGTATGAAATAATAAATAAATAACTATGGGCGAAAAAGAAGTGCTTTGTAGTGCAAAAAAAATCAGCTAAACCCCTCAAAACAAAACTGATAATGGTCAAAATTGACCATTTCACTGGGGAGCCCAATGTTTGAAAACAAATTCACTGAAACTTGGTCCACAGAGATATTTGACATGCTGATTACGAATATGTTGCTCATTATGCTTGTAGGGCCTCATGTTATGGGTAGGCGATAATCCTAGGGGGGGGGGGGAGTGGAGTGCATTGAGACACTCGGAATAGCGAGCATCCGAAATTTTTTTTCACAATTTTCCAATTTTTTCCTTGCCCCGAACGGAAATTCTGGATACATTACTGAGGTGGGGGGGGGGGGGGAAGGAGAGAGGGTGTATCCGGTGTTTGCGTCCCACACCCCCTGCTCAGCCTTCTTTACTGTCCCTAGTGATGGATCAAATGAAACGCAAAAACCATTCGAAATGTCGAAAATAGACTTTGGCTTCCCAGTGATAACATGACGGACTCTTACTTTGCTGCCCATATGACATGAATTGCCCTCGTACCAGTTGTGATGCAAGAGATTTAATTTGCTCGTCAGAATCAATGAGCCGGGGAGGAGACCAATCCTATAAACACGAAATCCCGAAAGAAATACAGGGCTCCTAAATTGCAGAGTCGTTTGCACCAGCGGCCGCGCGACCGCGTCGCGTCGGGTCCCGGCATTTTCCCAGCGCCGGCGCAGGCGCCATCGATTGAGGCCTGGCAAAATGCCCGGGAGCGAAGCGGTCGCGCGGCCGCTGGTGCAAACGACTCTGCAATTTAGGAGCCCTGTATGCAAATTTCTGCTTCCAATTCCTGAATTGCTTCAATGATCTACTATAGGCACGCACGCGTCCGCACCGCCACTGCCTCAGCGATGTAGATTAGAATGAAGAGACGCAGAGACTCCCGGCGCGAATCGGACTCCCGCCAGTCCAATTTCCGCCTAAACTGATTCGAAACTTACTATAAACGAACTTGATTGAAGGAAGTGGAAGTGGGACTGAAAGAACAGGGACAGGCGAATCTGTGCAGTCCTTACAGGGAAAGGTTCCCAAGTCAGCTCAATCAATCCGGATGAGGCATATAGCATCGTGAAGCGCTTAGAACGCTGATTCCAAATCTGTCGTTTGTAGCTGCCGAACGGATCTGGGTTCTGTAGAACAAGTTACGGGGATGCTATCCTCCGGGGTTGAAGCGCCCTTCAGCATGTCGCCTTTGTCTATGTGAAAGGAGAAGAGTATGCAATGGACCTCATTCAAAGACCACAAAGCCATTCAGCCCGTCCTACCTGAGAGAAAACGCTCAATGCTGATGAATATTCCGCTGTTTGCTTCTTTTTGTCTTTCAAAACGTAAGAGACTTAGGAGACTTTCCTCCCGCGTCTGTACGCGATATGCATTTTTTCTGCTCATCTTAAAGATCCATACTGAAAAATACTTTCACTCATGTATCCACAGTTTTGCACTCCATGTTTCAAAAATTTGTATTTCCTGCACTGAATCTCTATAACAAACAGAATAATCTAGGTCATCTACAGACGCAAGAAGAAATCGCTTATACATGATTTTAGAAGACAAAAAAAGTAAACAGCGAAAAATTCATAATCTTTGAGCATTTCTCTCCAAGAGAACGAGCTGAATGGCCTCGTGGTCTCTGAATGAAGTTCACGAATCATGAGTTCGTTGCATACCCATTCACATCCCACATAATAGGCAAAGGTGGACATGTTGAAGGGCGCCTCAATCCCGGAGGGAAGCACCTCCATAACTCCTTCTACAGAACCGCGGTTAGAAACAACAGATTTGGAATCAGAGTTCCAAGCGCATCACGATGATATATGCCTCAGACCGAAAGGCCGAGCTATTGGGATCCTTTCCTTGTAAGATCCTCGGATGTCAAAAGCAGATAAGAAACCAATTCGTACACCACCAGACAACAAACTGCATACGTGCGACTAAAGAAGCGCAAGGATGCGAAACACAAATGCGAATGATACAGATTAAGAAAACTTACTGATTGTGTCAACTCTTAGATCAGCGGGAGTTATTCGCAAATACTGCGCACCATTAGAACGGCATTTGTTGGCCGCTACCACGTCGGTATGTTGCGGACCCTCAGCAGAGTCAACGACGATAAAATCCGCCTGTAACCGTGATTATGTCAAAAATATGAGAAGTATATATATACTTTTTCTATGTGACTTGTTCAGTCCATTCATGGCAACATCCATAGTAGTCAAACACTCCTACACTCTGTTGGATGGGGGCTCGTGAGGCTCAAGCCCCGCGCAACCGCCTCGCCTGAGCTCTGCACCTCTTCCGTACACCTACTCTCTGATCATTTTCCCACCAAAAATGTGGGAAGAGCCAAGCTTCAACCGCTAAATTATGGCGAAAATTATTGGAGAGCATGCTGCGAAACAGGTACAGAGCCTAGGCGAGGCGAGCGCGCACGACAACCGCACGAGCCCTCATACTCCTAATGATACAGAGGTATTTACTAGGCAATCCTGAAAATCGCATCAGTCAAGATTGAGTATGATTGGAAATGATAACGAGAGGTAGCGTTGTCCACGACAGTATCCAACAGCCTCCTGGTGCAATTTATAACAAACAACACTCAGCAGAAAATCATCCCCCTTCTTCTTGCTTGATTAGCCAAAGCCGCCGCAGGGTGTCGCGCGCAACTGCGCTCCTCGAGGATCGGTCATAGTACTCGTCGCCGCGCGATTTCTAGATGCTACGATTGTTCATAATCTTCCATGGGCGCATTACCCGCATAACTCTGTAAGCAAGATTTGGCATACGCATAAGACTACAAAAGCTGTGCGCCTACGCTCATGGATTTCACACGCGGTAGACTTGCGGACACTGGCAAATTGCCAGATCGCGTATAGCCGCATTGGGGGAATCGCGCGAGGTATATTCGAGGCCTTACGGACATGCCATAACAGTCGTGCAAATTGGACCAAACCCAACCCAACCTAACGATAAGCAGTTCATACATGTAATTTAGTAAACTTGACGGAAAATATGGTGCCCCTACGGCACCGAGATTTGCGGGTGACATTCGCGCGTGAACGAATTGCCAGAGGGTACAAAACTTGAAAAAAGGGTTCTGCGCACATTTTGCACGCGCAAACTGAAGGCATTATAGACGCAAAGATACTGCAGGGCGAAGGCGCAGAAGCGTATTAGACTGCGTGCAACTGATGCGCAAGTTCGGGAACAGTTTCAGCACAGCGTTCACTCTAAGCGCTGTGCTGGAATTGTTCCCGAACTTCCGTATCTGTATGAACGCATCCCTTGTTGAGCAGGAGGACTCGGCGCGCATCTTCACCGTTGTAAACCCTGCGCCTGTGCGCTTCGCGGCTAATAAAGCCGCGTTACAAAGGTGTTCTGCCTTCGTCATGAAGTAGCCTATAGAAACTAGTTTACGCACAGTTGTCGGCAAATGATGGCACACCAGGGAAAAGATGTTTACCGCCAAGTCTACTAGCCTATGATGGCAGAGAAAGAATGTATCTGCGAATAAGAGATTCTTCATGACAGAAGTTAACAATCATGGCACCCTAGACAAGAAACAAATAACTATTGCTAGCTACAGAGGGAGTTTTGAACAACTCAGGTGGACGATGCTATGGAGCGGCATCCATTTACACAAATCACAGAACAAAGATTTATCCCGGATTTTATCCCGAGAACAAATTGAGCAGAGAAATGGTTCCAAACGAAAGAAACGAGTAGCAAAACTGACTTTGATTTCACGAACTGTTGCCTTCTGCCATCCACTCTGGCCATTTTGTTGTTGAAATAAGGCTTCGATGACGTCTCCTTTATGGATCGGTTGAGAAGTGATCGCTTGAAGGACGCGACAATTAGCAAAGCCTACTGATTCTCGTGGACGCCAGTCTCCAGGGTACGACGTCTGGAACACCGAGTGATGCTAGTGGAACATTATTGCAAACGTACAAAACTATCTATGTGCAATGAACATGAAGACGGAGTTATCTCTGAAGATTCACTTGTGACAACAGAACTAACCTCTAAAGACTTTTCATCCTCCGAAATTCGCTCAGCTGTAGCTGGGTAATAAACACCATCGATATTCACCTTAAACGAAATTATATACTGCTTCTACTTTTTGCAAAAAACTGTTCTTTTCCTTGAGATCTAATGACATTCGGCTTCCTATTAGAGAGTGTGTACATGTTAGAGCAATTAGAGCAACCAGGGAATAAACTATCACTCTCTGATGCGATTAGATTGCTTCGAATTTTTATACGAACACATAAATCAACCACTGGATCGTTTAACAAGCAACGTAAGTGCAGTTCTTCATAAAACCTATGAATAGCAATGCGGAAGGTGTTGCAAACGAAGGTGTGCAGAAATGAGGCAAACTAACAAAACAACAGAAAGCTCGGACGGAATTTCAACAAACAGTTTTCAATTAATAAGCTTCTACGCAAGAATTTGAAAAATCCACATGGGTTTCCAAGTACTTTCACTTTCTAGTGTGATAGAAGGAAACATTTGACAATATCCCAGTCAAGATAAAAACCCTCTGTATATGATGTTGGTAAAAATCTGTGTGCTACAGAAATAGAATCAGGGAAGGGAGAGGAAGCCAAACTCCTCCAGAAGGCAAAACGCTCATGACGAAAACTACACTTTATGCTGGTGACATATTCAGTATTTAGTGGAGTTTGATTCCTAAGTGTAAGAGCAGCAAGCAGATTATCGTTGCTGACATGCTGACAAGGAATGACTGCATGAGCAGGAGAGACTTGTCTCTCTGTTTAACGGTGACGATGAAAATATCAAATTTGCTCACCTCAATATTCATAACAGTTCACTAAGGCCTGCTTTTGGACCTGAAGATCGTAAATCGAGCACACCCGTACAATGCGGACAGCCGTTGGAAATGCGACTACGAGGCCCGTGCTCTTAGCGAATCTTTAGCTGCGTATCGGTCGTTCAACATGTGCGCCGATACGCAGTGAAATTTAAATGATGGTTATTAAATATGAGAGATCGCGAGTTTGCCATTCATATTAGCACCGTATTTTCTCTTTAAGACGTCTAAGAAGTCTTAGGTTGAACTCTCAAGTCAAGAAAATGCAGCTTCCATAGGGCGCTACTCGGCTATCCGGACCCCAAATTTCCTTGTCATGGATTTCGCTAAAACCTGGCTCAGGAGGTTACCTGGCATGCTTACGAACATCACGTTTTTTCCGCGCGAGGACGCCTCCCTGTGCGGTTACGGTGTGTATACGGTAGGGGCCAAAATCACGAATGTCGCTAAAACTTGGCCTAGGGAGGTTATTCGACCCACTGATGCCGAATATCACACTTGTTTCATACGGTAGCGTCATTATTTGGGGCTGGGTGGGTATACGGTAGGGTGTCAAAATCATGGATTGCACTGAAACTTAGCTTAGGGGGCTATTCGACATGCTAATCACGAAGATCATACTCTTTTCGCATGACGAGGCTTTTTTACGAAGTTACCGTAAGTCTACGATAGGGGACAAAAATGATAAATTTGCTTGAATGTTGTGTTTGCTGTTGGATGTATACCGACTCGCCCTACCGTCGTTCCTTTCATACGGCTGCGTTCATACTGATCCCGAAGTCCGGGAACAGTTCCAGCACAGCGAAATGAAATGAGCGCTGTGCTGAAACCGTTCCCGGATTTCAAAATCAGTCTGAACGCAGCCTACAAGAGCATCGCCGCGCGCGACACACTCTCCGGCGGCTTTGCCGCAAACACGGGGAGGAAAATTTGCCGCGTACGGTACGCCCCACCGTATACCTACCACATCACAGGTAAACGTCTCATGGGGTAAAAACAAGATATTCGTGATCAGCATGTCAAATCACCCCCTGGGCTAATTTTCAAGCAAATCCACGATTTTGGCCCCCTACCGTATACCCACCGTAAACCCGCAAAATGACGCTACCGTACAAAACCAGTACGGTACTTGTGGTCAGCGGCCTGAATAACTCCCATGGGCCAAGTTTTAGCAAAATCCATGGCGAAAACTTTTTGGGGCCCGGATGGCTGAATAGCCACTTCATAGTCCTAAAAAGTAGACGCGAGTAAGGCCAGTGAATCTACCACGAAGTTACTGCATCTAAGAGAGCGCTGTGCAACCTAAAAGCCTGAGATCTCTTGCTTTCAGTGATGAATGGTATATATGTATACTACTTTTGACAACGCGCCCAATTCGACGCTTGGTCTCCTATTTCCGGCTGAAAAGGAGGAGCAATTATGGAGCTGGGTCGACTATGAATGACGCGGAAGGAGGGTAGGGGACTATGTCGGAGGGGAAACGAAATTTTGGTCAGCCTCCACGACAAGCAGGTGGTCCTTTTGTAATACTGTTGCATGCGCTTGGACCAGTACTTCGCAGAGTGACCCAAACTGGCTGAGTTCGTCCCCCTATCCTTATATTTCGCCAGAAGGGGAGGTCCAGCGCGGACGCCTGCAACAATCATAGGGTATTCGAGAAGTCGTGACTGGCGCGATCGCGTGCTACACGCATGCACTCCCACTCCTTGGTTTCTATCTCTACTTATTAAAAGCACCGTCCACCCAGTTATCGACATCCAGGTTTTTGTCGTTTCAGGGCCTTCTCATGTCCCTGATTCCAATTATGAAGTCGAGAATGCGCGAAAACCCCGACAATCCCCGTTTCGGAGAACCCACAGGCCGGCTTTCCGGGACGGTGATTGGATGGGCGCGCACAAATGGGCGGGCATGGATGGGGGAGGGTGGGCATGGATGGGGGTCCTCGTGCATCTTCGCTATTCCGAAGTGAGCGCCGCGACTTGGGCATCGGATTGATAGAGGACCCCACTATCATATGCTGCCAAAAGCTCAACACCCTCAACTTAGGGTGGACGGTGCCTTTAGAGCAGCGGCTCGGCAGATTCTCGACTTGAAGTTTTTTGCTTATAGGCAGTGTCCCGGCAGATTTTGCACTTCCACATTCCTGCATGTTTTAGACCTTTTCGCCACGTAGAACCCGAATTCATGCTTTGAACGGGCTGAACAGGCCGATTTTGGCTGGTTTACCTGACTCCAAAAAAGCATCTCGGACGAGATTTTTAATGGAAAGTTTTGAGGTCCTCAGACGAAGACCCTGCCGCCTGTAATTTTTACTTTGGATAGCATACACAATGAGGGAGAGCGCTCCTGGGGTCCCGCGCCGAACAGACAAGGGTAGCCGTCCGAGCGCGCGCCAGTTGGGGTTGCGCGCGCCGGTTCTTGGGCCATTTTCTCGGCCCAGGGGGAACATCACTCAGCCGGATTGCGCCTGGAGGTCGGTGGGGTGACCAGGAACCCCATCACACCTATATCGCCCAGGACCCGAATCTGCCTTTATAGGCCACTAGCTGGCTTACCCGGCTCCGCCGTATCCGGACCAAACTTGGCACACATACACTTCGGGCCCCGGCGGGTGTCACAGTCCACTTTTCGTTATCGATCGATGTCGATTTTACCGATTTTTATCGATTTTTTTGCAGAGTTCACCTACAGGGCTAGGAGTTGGCACAGGGGGAAGTGAGCATGGGGATTCCGAATACAATATTAGTTTTCAAAATTATCGATTACCTTTATTGATTTTATCGATTTTTTGTAAACTTTGACATGCGAGGCTGGGATTTTGCACAGGGGGGTAATCGAGCATGCTGATTACAAACACAATATTAGTTTTCAGGATCGTCCATTACTTTTATCGATTTTATCGATTTTTTTGTAAAGTTTGACCTGCGGGGCTGGGAGTTTGCAGGGGGTAATCGAGCATGCAGATTACGAATACAATATTAGTTTTCAAGATCGTCCATTACTTTTATCGATTTTATCGATTTTTTGAAAATTTGAGATAGGGGGCTGGAATTTGGCACAGGGGTGCAATCGAGCATGCTGATCACCCCCCTTGGGGATGATCAGCATGCTCGATTACCCCCCTGTGCCAACTCCCAGCCCCCTAGCTCAAACTTTGCAAAAAATCGATAAAATCGATAAAAGTAATCGATAATCCCGAAAACCAATATTGTATTCGGAATCCCCATGCTCGATTACCCCCCTTTGCCAACTCCCAGCCCCGTAGATGAACTCAGCAAAAAAATCGATAAAAATCGATAAAATCGATATCGATCGATGACGAAAAGTAGCCTATGACACCCGCCGGGGCCCGAAATGTATGTGTGCCAAGTTTGGTCCGGATCGGTTCAGAAATAAAAATTTCTATTCGGAACATACGTACATACATACATACAGACAGACATACATACATACAAACAGACATTCAGCTTTATATATAAGATAAGATCCGCACAAGGCGCGGAGAGTGCGCAAGGTGTGTATTGCGGAGAGTGCGCAAGGTATGTATTGCGCGTCACTACTCTTTCCTCGTGCACTCTCGCCGCCTGTTTTTCTCTGCGCTTCTTCCAGTCGTGAACTGCCTTCAGTGCACAAACAGCGTTGCTCTCCGTGCGCAGCGCGGACGGCCTATACCTGGGGTAATTCGAGGCGCTGATTCAGAAAATCCACCTTGATGAGCGCGAAAATGGCAAAAACCACCATTTTCCAAGGCCTCCCTTTGAATTTGGACGAGTGGAGCCCTCCCCGCCATGATTAGAGAGGCAGAATCGTTCCTCGCAGCTGTTGCGGCATGCCTTCTCTGACGGGTCAGGGAGAATCGCAAGCTCGTCCGCGCGTATTAGAATGGCTTGCGCGTAACGGGTTTAGGGACAGTTTTCTAGACAGGGGCGGGGGGGGGGGGGGAGGGGGACGGGGACAACGCGCGCAAAATGCAAGCATTGTAAAATCGCTCTTACTAACTTTCACAGAATTTCACTTGTGGCATCGAGTCATGTATCTGCCCCCCCCCCTACCTTGGCCGTGCCACTTTAGCACCGAAGAGTTTTGAAAAGCACAAAATTTGAGGATTGTCGCCTTCCGCACCACACCCCAAGGGCAGCACGCTGTGCGCTCTCTGCTCTGTTCTCATGTTTGGGGTGCGCGCAACCTTCCGTTTCAAAATTTCGGTATGTTCGGTTTTGGCGAGCTGCTGCCTTTAAATCGTTTTCCTGCTTACATATGGCAGTATTCAGACACTGAAATGTGTGAGCTGGGCCTTGAGGTGATGCCTGTTTGTATGGTTGTTTTGTGCTCCTGTGTGAGCAACCGCAGCCAAACTCGTCACGATCTTTAAAATGAACCATACACACCTCTTAGACACCACCATAATTGATCCACTCTTGATCCGCTTGATACATTCCATCTACTTCGCTATTGGTCAATTTAGTAGACAGACCATTAGCGAAATGTATCTAACGGACATCTGTTTCGTTATTGGCCGTTCTCTGATTTAGATCACAGTGAAGTGGTAGGCGCGCGGAGATCTAGAAATTTGCACCTATGTAACCTTTGATTCTTTGATCTGCGGCCCGCATGGCCAATATGTTGACAACATGTAACGACACAAAATTCTGCCAGATTGTATCGTCTCTTCCACAGTTGCTGCTACCCTTGGCCTGCGTCGCAGACCTACCACATGTGCTAACATGTTGGTAACGTCAGCAACCATGTTATCCTCTCCTTGTTAGTTCCTTACTTACTCAATACTTATGGCCCGGCTTCACGTGACGTGCGGGCAGGGCACGGCACAGGTGGCTTAACAAGCAAGCTGGATATCGTTTTTGGGGAAAAAGCAAAGGGGATATCGTTTTTGCGGATGAGCATAACGTTGTCTTTCGATTTGCGGCCGGCACGCTGCCGGCATGCCGCCAGCAAATAAACAAAGGGTTTGTTTACAGCGAATTGAAGATGAAATGACACCAAAATAGGTGTGTAGATGGGCAATGGGGAGTTAGGACTAAGTCTGAAAAATTATGAAAAAATTATGTGAACTAAATGCGTGCTCAACTTTTTTCCCAGTTAGGTGGCTTTCAAGCCACCTGGATAGCCACCTGAGGTGGCTTAGAGAA